AACTTGGAAATAAAGGTTTTTGAGACAATAGCAAAATGTATGTTGAAGCCCTCTTGTATGAGGGTAGGTGCCAGGGAGGAAAGAAAGTCAGTGAGCCCAGCATTGAACTTACCAATGAAAGAAGCAAAGTGTACTGGAGGTTGGCAAGCAACAGCTACCAGAATTTTGATTGGATGGTAAATATGGATAGATTGAACCTAAGAGTAGGAGAGATTACCTAATGATGGTGGTGGAGGGAGAGCCTGGAAGTGACAATGGGGAGCAAAGAGTATTCTGACTCCCTTACTTCAACCGATGAATTGGGGAAGGGTATGAATGTGTGAAAGTGCAGTCAGTTCTGGAAAAGGTGGCCAGGGAGTCTGCATCATCAGGAGGGAACCAAATCTCAGCGAGAGCCAGAAGGTGAAAGGAATGGGAAAGGAAACAATTTGAAATGAAAACAAGTTTGGTACCTATGGAGTGATTATTCTAAAAACCACAATGTAGCAGTGAGTAGCTTTAGAGTGATACTTTGGTGGGGGGAGTGTTTCAAGGTAATGGGAATAAGGGATTGGACAATGAAGGATGGAGAATGGGTTTTGTATAATGACATCTACAATTCAAGATCGTTGCAATAGGGAAGAAATGAACAGATTAAAGTTGACAAATGAATTCAGGAAGGTCATTAACCTCACTAGGAGTAGGGTGGTGTCTGTCATCTTAGGCTAGGAGGGAAAGAACTTAGTCAAGATCCCCCAGGGCAGAGGTGGGACTTGTCCCTTGACCCTAGATGTTTCCATTCCGAGTCCAGTGCTTGTTCCTTTACAGTTACCTTACTGCATTGGAGAATCCCCTCATGTTCAGGACAAGTGAGCTCATCTTAATTAATCAAGGCCATTTGAGATTTAGAGGGTTCCATAGGACAGAACAGATACACCAAGAATTTCTAGACCTTAAACAGGAAACAGCTCTAATAAATAAAATCTGTCTTTCTACATCTTCTCCCCCCACCTCAATCTTTGTTCCTAGTTTGTTTTTTTTTCCCATCCAGAGCTAAGGGAACAAGGAGAGCCCCACTTCTCCATGAAAGTCCTTCAAATTCTTGAACATATTCATCATGTCCCATGGTCCCTCTTTTCTCTTATCTCCTTTTCATCCATCAGGTAATAAAGGCCTATTTAACACAAGCATCTTTCTATCTGCCCGTCTTCTGGTCAATGTCTTCCCAAGAGGAACAACCACCCTCTTGACCCAGACCTCCAGAGATCAATGCCCCACCCCCTCATCCTTGAAGAGTTAATCAATTTGCCACTTATCTCTAAGGCTAAGATAACTTGATTAATGAGTAACAACTCACCTATCCCACTATATCACGTGTTCCATTCCATCTAGACATCCACTAGGAAACCAGGGATTACTTGAAATGAGCATCTTGACATCTTCTCTGCCACGTTTCCCCCCCTCCCCCTTTCTCAAAGGCTTCCTCCCCCTTGAATCCCCCAAGACTCAAATTCCCAGCGGATTACCGCTTGAACCTTAAATTGAAAAAGACAAACAAAACTGAACAAGGCAAGCACCCAGCCCAGTTCTTAGACCTGAAGTAAAAGAGGGAGCAGAGGAAGAAAGTCCTTTCCTTCTCACTGGTTCAGTTCATGGTGCCCACACTGTGAATAAACTGTGAACTGAACACAACAGGGAAGAGGCCACTCAGAAAAGAGCTTGACCAGAAAGAGCTTGATTGTCTTAGCATTTCAGGTTTTAAAGATATAGCCTTTATGGCTTTGCAGCTAATCAAAGAAGACTACCCTTGCCCATGTGAAAGAGGGTGTAGAGTGTCTCCATGCTAGGCATTCCAGGCATGGTCCAATGGCCCCTCTGGATGCCTCCATGCTAGGTGATCTGGTAATGCTCCAAAGACCCCATTACACACACACACACACACACACACACACACACACACACACACACCTTTTTTTGTGAAGCAATTGGGGTTAAGTGAGTGACTTGCCCAGAGTCACACAGCTAGTAAGTGTCAAGTGTCTGAGGCTGGATTTGAACTCAGGTCATCCTGACTCCAGGGCTGGTGCTCTATCCCCTGCACCACCTAGCTGCCCCCCATATACGTCCTTTTAAAAGCTGGACTTACTAATGAGTTCCTTGTGCAGCTACATCAGTCTCTTTAGGCAGCTTCCTTTTCCTTCTCATTGGAATCATTTTTTCTCCTGTCTCATACTCTTAAGAATTTGCCATTCCTTGTGGTCTGACTTCCCTTTCAAAATACTCAGTGGAAGGATCTTCTCTATTCTTTCTCTGAATCATTCAGAATCTGCTCTCCTCAAATCTAGGTGCACTTTCAGACTGGGTCCAGCATTTCCCTCCATCTCTGTCATGAACTCAAGGATGGAGTTGTCATTTACCCCCAAATGTCATGTCATTTCTACCTTAGTAAACAGTTTCTTCTTGTTGGTCAAAGTCAGGTCCAGAATGTCCTTTCTTTTGTTACCTTTTGACGGATGAAACTAACATTAAGTCAAGCTAAAAATTTGTCAATTTCTCTGCTTTTGGCAGAGACAGAGCTCCAGCAGATGTCCAGAGAGTTGAAGTCTCCCATCATTACAATAACATGTTTCCATGCCAGATTTTTTTTTTCTCGTAATCTATTTCCCAAGCTTCTCATCTAATTCCTCCTTCTGTCCAGGTTTTCTGTAGTATATTCTCACAACAATATTGCTTCTGTTTCTAGATCTCCATCCAAATGTTCTCCACTATATTTCTCTGCTCAGATGCATGTGTTTCCTCACATGAGAAAAATTCCTCTTTTTGTTTTTTTGAGATTAAGTCTAAGTCTCCCTCATCTAGCGGCTTCTCACAGGTCCCAATCTCAGTGCTGTTTAGCACAGAAGCTTTGACTTGCTCCATTTCCAATCTGGGCTCGTCACTCTTCATCAGGCAATTTAGTGGCCCCACACTTTAGGGGGCTCACCATTTTGGGGCCAGACTTTGTGCAGTAACATCATGGACTTTAACTTTCCTAAAGCTCAGAACTCCTGAGCTTGGGTGATCCACTAACCTCAGCTTCTCTTCACAGCCAGGATCATGGGCATGTGTCAACATACCCAGCCTGAAAATATGTACTTAATAGGCAGTACTATTCAAGAAAATGGAAATAAAGTATATGTTCATCAATTGGGAAATGACTAAACAAGTTGTAGCACATGAATGTAATGTTGGAAATATTACTGTAAAGAATGAAACAATGAATGGGAAGAATATAGGAAGGCATGGAAGGACCTATAAATGTACACAGAGTGAAGTAAGTCAAACTAGGAAAACAATGCACATAAAGACTACAGAATGGCACATCAAAATGAAACTGGATGTTGTATAATTATAACAATCAAGTTTGACTTTGAAGAAGAAAGTAGAAAAAGCACCTCTCTCTTGTCTTTGTGGAACCTGTGGAGTATGTGTATGGACCATTGCATATGCTGTCAAACGCAGCTGATGTGTTAATTTTGCAGAACTGAATTTTTACTCACTTAAAAAAACAGACTTTTAAAAATTCTGAATTTAAACACACACACACACACACACACACACACACACAAAAGGGCATATACATATGCACAGGAAAACACAAAGAGGATTGTATGTGAAACCATGAATTTCCAAATCACACTGCTTGCTTTAAGGGAAAAAAAAAGGTATATATTAAATTCCACTTTACTTTCAAAACTGTCCTGCTTTTCTGTGCTTCCTTCTGAACTTCCTTCTGTTCTTTTCTGTTTATTTAAAAAATGTTTCGATGGCTTTTTTTTGTATTACTATTGCTAACTCCCCCTTTTCTCCCTATACACTCCCCCAATTAGAAACATCAGTGAGAACAACAAAGAGAAAGAAAAACAACAATGACAACAAAAATCGTGTAAGTACAGTCAAGCAAAATTGATCCACACGGTGGCCATGTTTAAAAATGTATGTCTCTTTCTGAACCATCACGTCTCTGTCAAGAGATGAGTAACATGCTTCATCTTAGGTCCTCTGGAGACATAGTTGTTTGTTTCTTTGATCAGAGTTTTTAAGTCTTTCAAAATTGTTTTTCTTTTTAATGCTATTGTTATCATATAAACTATTCTATTTCTGCTCACTGTACTCTGCATCAGTTCATAATAACCAGGATTCTCTGAAAAAAAAAGTCTTTCATCATTTCTTTCAGTGAAATAATATTCCATTACATTAATATACCACAATTTATTAGATAGTATCCTGAGGCAATCTAAAGCATCTCTGTTCTTTGCTTTTTCTTTTCCTTCCCCACCTCTCCTCCCTTTCAGGATCAATAAATTTGTTTTGCTTATGGGCTAGATCCTTCCTGGTATTATTCTCATTCTTACCCCCCCCCCCCAATCCATACTTGGTTATCTTTTGAGTTTGATGTATTTTTTCATCAAACTGTGTGTGTTCAATCCTCTTTTGTCCATTTCAGATAAGAGTAAGGTCATTCTAATGCCTATTACCCACACCCTTTCCTCCATGTTTGTGTATCTTCTTACCTACTACACTCATGTGAAATTTCAAGTTCCACCTACTTCTTTCTCCTTTCCACATTAGTGTATTCCTCCTTCTGCCCCCACTTCTCTTTCCTTGATTCAGACCATCAGAACAAAACCAATCCACCCTTCGGGTCATCTTTTTCTTATTTAACTCTCTCAATACCCTTTGAAAATATTAAGACTCTAAAGGAATATTTATGTCCCCTTATTAGAATATTAAAACTATATTATCATACAGTCCCTTCTAATTGGTCAAGCAAATTTACCTTTCTAGATTTTTCTTGACTCTTGTGTTTGTATTTCAAAGTTCTTACTCGGCTCTTGTCTTTTCATCAGAAAAGATTGAAAAGTCCTCTACTCCAATAAAAGATCATTTTTCCTCCATCAGATTATACACAGCTTTGCAAAATGTTATTCTTATTTGTAAGCCTATATCTTTTGCCTTTTGGAATACTGTATTCCACAACAGTGCTCACTTCAGCAGAACATATACTAAAATTGGAATGATACAGAGTTTATAGCATGGCCCCCGTGCAAGGATGCCATGCAAATTCATGGTGTTCCATATTTTTTGGCAGCTAGGTGGCACAGTGAATAGAACACAGGGCCTGGAGTCAGGAAGACTCATCTTCATGAGTTCAAATGTGGCCTCAGACATTTATTAACTGTGTGACCCTGGGCAAGTCACTTAACCTCTGTCTATTTCCATTTTCTCATCTCTAACGTGAGCTGGAAAAGGATACTACTCCAGTATTTTCACTGAGAAAATCCCCCATGAGGTCATGAAGAGCTGGACACAACTGAAAACAACTCAACAACTACAACAAAATTCCAAGATATCTGGTTTATAATGGTAGCTTCTAAATCTTTTGTGATCTTGACTCTGGTTCCTTGGAACTTGAGCAGCTGCTTTCTGGGTGCTTACAGTATCTTTTCTTTCTTTGATGTGGAAGCTCTAGATTTTAACTGTGATATTTCTGGGACTTTTTAGCATTTCTTTCTGGGGGTGATTGGTATATTCTTTTTATTTTTATTTTATTCCCTGGTTCTAACTGATCTGAAACATTCTGATTTCTGATTTCTTGAAATATAATGTCCAAGTTTTTTTTTAATCATGATTTTCAGGAATATCAATCATTCTTAAATTACTTTTCTTTGATTGATGCCTTTGTTTTCTTCTGTTTTTGAAATTTGAATTTTATTCTAATATTTCTTGCTTTCTCATAGAGTCATTGCTTTCTGTTTAGCTTATTCTAATTTTCAGAGAATCTGTTACTTAGGTAAAGATTATCATTTTTCCTTCTAATCTATTTATTCTCCTTCCAATTCTTTCCTCTAGAGCTTTTAATTATTTATCTTTGTCTTCATTCCTTCTAGGAAGATAGTCCTTGTGGATAATCCTTTGAGTCTCTCTTTGCAGTTATTATGAGTTATTTTCCCCTTCTTTAGGGGGAAATCTCTCTATCAACATTTTTTTTATTGGTTGATGTCTTTTTTGTTTTACTCATTTCTACAACTTTAGTTCTTGAGTTGGCCCTTTGTGCCAGTGTCAAGCCCTGGCCCCTGCTGTGCTTTGGGGTAGGGTGGTGAATCTCACTTAATCTCATCCTAGATCACCTGGGTTCCTGTGCTAAAACTTCCTAGGGTTAACCCCCTCCATCCCCATCCCCCTTCCCAAATCTTTGAGGTTCAGAGTAAAGGTCCCTGGATACATGAACTGTCCTTTTCTGAGCATTGCCATGTTGCACTTATTGCTTTGGTTTCCCTATGCTTTCAAGGTTTCCACGTTGGGGCTTTTCAAATACCCTAAGGCTGTCTCAGAGGAACCATCCACTCTTGCTGCCCCATGTCCATGGATCTTTACATACTACCCATGTCTCTGACCCATTGCTAGTCACACTGGGAGGCTGTTGACTTGTTTGCCTATACTAGTTAGAGTTGGCTTTGCTGGTGGCCCCCTTTCCTATTGTCCCTGGGCTTCTGGTTGACCTTTTGTGCAGTTCTGAGGGAAAAGAAGTCACCTTAGTTTCTCATTGGATTTTTTGATTATTATTTGGTCTGGAACAAATTCAGAGTTTTTGGTGGAGTAAAAGTGTGAGAAGTAGAACTGCCTTCATTTGACAGCCATTTTGTCTGGAAAGCTTCTGGTTTATTATTATTATTATTATTATTTGTTCCAAGATGGCTCTCTGGGAAAGGGAGAGAGAAAGTACTTGGAAATGAAGGTGATATTAAAAAGTAAAGATATTTCAAAAATTAAATACCTGCTCAATGCTATTCTGTCCCCTCTTTCATCTGTCCTGTGCATTTTGAATAAGTTTCAGAGAAAAGTTCCAGTCATGGGTCCCATCCTACAAAGTCTCAGTGATATTTATGAGGGCAAATTTTCTGCTTTGCATTATAATGTCTAGATCATCTTGTTTATTACTCACACTTTGTGCATTTGTATATAGACATCTGAGGCGTGCTATCAGATTTTATTTCTGACTTGCTTCTTGGATATTGTCTCCCACGGATTACTGTTCCTCTTTTCTGCTGTTCTTCTCCCTGTATGGCATCTTCCTCTGCCTACTACTCTCTGTGGTACATGACTAGTCAATTTTCTCCTTTTCTCTCCCTTCTCCATTTAGTGACCTCTTGATTAGGCTCACAAGACTCTAGGCAAATATGTTTTTACTGGGCAAATATATGCCTTTTTACAGGGGCAAACACATCCTTTTTATAAAGGTGAATATCTCTTATTAGATGTACTTCAACCCTTGCCCTCCTCATAGATTCAAGAATTCATAATTTCTTTATTTTAAACCATGGTCCAGAAATATAAATTCTATTAAAAGACACCATCTTCTTAACCAGATTAGTATATCTCAAATTTCAATTTCTCTTTTGATTTCCCCTCCCTTTGTTTGGCAAAGTGACAAGAACACCACCTGTTATCACAAGGTCTTCAATTTTTTGCCCAGGACTATGTTATCCTTAGCAATGCTTTCTATGTTCTTTTTGGTGGTATTGTTTGCCCCAATGTGAAACACCAGAATTAAGAAGTAACAACCATTAGATTTGACAGTTCTCAGGATGCTTTCCATCGTCGACTGAATATGTGTCCCAGGAATGCAGCAGATGTCTGGACTTTCTCAGATCATTAAATAGCTGCCTAGGTACCCCTCAGCAAGGAATCAGCAAACCACTCCTCTCCTCCTCTTCCTTTGCCCATGACAGGCAACTAATGGTGCTATGGAACCACACCATCATTGCTGGGAGCACAAGAAATTGCTTCCTCCAGAGTTTGGTCCAGCTCCCCTACTCTATAAGAAAAGCCTCATACCTCTTATGTACCACCCAACATTTAATGCTTCTTCCCTCCATTCCGGGTATCACATTTTTCTACCTTTCACTCTTCTACAGCAAGTGAGTAATCCTCCCTCTCTTTACATGATTTGTCTTCTCTTTATCCCTTCAAATTCTTCTTCCATCCTTTAAAGGAACCCTTTTTTATCCTGGTAACCTGAAGAATAGGAAAACATTCCTCCAGACCTTTCATATGCTCATCTAGAATAAATACTAGCTTGCGCTTTATTCACATGTAGGTGGTCTGCCAAAATTTTGTACTGGCAGAAGTATAAGCATAGTATGTTCTCTGTAGGCCATTGAAAAATTCTTCATACTCACTTGATTGATCATTTGTCTTCTTTTTTTTGGTAGTTCTCTTGGCTTATTTGTGATTATGTATAATTGCAAATTGCATATTTTTGAGAGCCAAAATTAGGAATACAAATAAGACCCAATCTATTTCAATTAAATAAACGTATATTAAGCACCTACTATATGTAATATTCCATGCTAGGTGCTGGATAAATAAAGACAAAAATGAAATTGGTCTTCAAAGAATTTACATCATACAGGAAGAAATAACATGTAAATAGATAAGTAAGATAATTTGAGGAGGGAAAGAGAACAAACCAGAGATCAGGAAAGGCTTCACATTGGGGCAACTGGGCCTTGAAGGAAGCTAAAGATTCTAAGAGGTGGGACTGAGGAAAGAGTTTATTCCAGATGTGGGGAATAGCCAGTTCAGAGAAATGGAAGTAGAAGATGGGATGCCAAGTTCAGGGAAGACCAAGTAGGTCAGGTGAACTGGAACACAGAGTGCCTGAGAGGAGTAAATAAATCTGGAAAGGGTTAGATTTAAATTATAGGGCGAGCAGTTTGTATTTTATCCTAGGTGCAACAGAGAATTCTTGAAGCTTATTGAGCAGGGGAGTGACATAGCCAGATCAGTACTTTATTTTATTTTTAGGGAGGCAATCAGGGTTAAGTGACTTGCCCAGGGTTATATACATAGCAAGTATCGGAAACTGGATTTGAACTCAGGTCCTTCTGACTCCAGGGCCAGTAACTCTAGTCACTGCACCACCTAGCTGCCCCAGACCAGTATTTTAGGAAGATTATTTTGCTGTTTATGTGGAGGACAGACTAGAGAGGGAAGAGACTAAAATCAAAAGTTCATAGAGTTAGAGCCTGAAGGCACATTAGAGATCATCTACAATTTTTTTTGTATTGTGAATGTTTTCTTTTTTTTACTCATCTCTACAACTTTAGTTCTTGAATTGGCCTTCTGTGACAGGAAGGCCCTGCCCCCTGCTATGCTTTGGGGTAGGGTGGGGAAACAGAGGCCCAGAGAGGTTAAGGGCTTGCCCAAGGTCACCTAGGTAGTAATAATTACATAGCACTTACTATGTGTCAGGTGCTTTAGAATTATTATCTCATTTGATTCTCACAGCAACCCCATGAAGTAGGTGCCATTATTATCCCCATTTTACAGATGAGGAAACTGAGACAAAGGTTAAGTGTCCTGCCCAGAGTCACACAGCTATTAAGTTAGATTTGAATGAAATCTTCCTGACTCCAGGCCCAGCACTCTATCCACTGTACCATCTTTGTTGTTGTTCAGTTGTGTCCGACTCTTCGTGACCCCATTTGGGGTTTTATTGGTAAAGATACTGGAGCAGTTAGCCATTTCCTTTTCCAGCTCATTTTATAGATGAGGAACTGAGGCCCAGGATCACATAGCTAGTAAATGTCTGAGGTCAGATTTGAACTCAAGTTTCTTGACTACTGGCCTGTCGCTCTGTACCACCTAGGTGCCTCTAAAGTCTCACTAAGGCACATGAACTTATGAGTTTTCTGTGTTCTGATGTGTTTAATTTCTTTTGTGGTAAAGGGAATAAATAGCTGTCTTATGACTGATATTTACTTTGTACATTGAGAAATTTTTCTAGAAGGACCATATTAATCCCTTTTATAGGAGACCCTAGACATGAGTCAGACCTAAGTTTTGTTTAAGAGATTTTCCCCAGAACTACAGAGGTGGGGCCAGGCAATGAGCCATAGAATTCAAGAAAAGCCTGTCTCCCCTCTTTCAGGGGTCAGGACATAGCCAGGACTCAGTCCAGTTCTTGTGAGTTCTGAGCTGAGATCTTCTATGGGAAATATTCTTCCCCTCTTCTTCCTTCTCCCTCTTCTTCTCCCCCCACCCCCCAGCCACATTGATAGAAACAAAAGTAAGTAATAG